AGGTGAATCTATTTGCATAAGCCCTGTGCTCAATTCATGGGTCAGCAGCCTTAGATATGAGAGTTCAGGATGGTTGCCAGGGCAACCCTGAAACGGGGGGAAAAATCCAATATCACAAGCAGAGCCGCTGAGCCTATGCAATTCTTATCGCCTCTGATCAAAATGCAGATTTCTAGATGAAGTGAAAGCTGCAAGACAGTGCTGTTCAGAAACACACAATTGCAAAGTTGGGTAGGATGCCTGCGAAGTGTTTGGATTTTCAGTCATGATGATTTTCCCAATGCAGAAACACTGACTTGAGCTTCGTTACTGCGGTCGAACCTGGCCTTGTTTGGCAGGTGAATACTGTGGCTTTTCTTGACTGGAGGAAAGTGGAACAACAGCTGGCCAGGAGGAAGAGGACTCTGTCCAGTTCCTGCCATTAGAAATCAACACAGTGACCGTTCAGCTCCTGTGTAACCTGGTACTGATGAATCCTCATTTTATGGCTCCTTGTAACTGCAGCAGTCAATGCCATCCAAATACTGGATGTGACCCAAGTTTTGTTCTTGCCTTACATGGCTTTCAGTTATTATCAGTAGAACTGATTCTTCCTTGGCAAGCCTGACCCTTTCCATTCCAGCAAAACAGCACACTTCTAATTTTTGGTGGCATCTACACACTTGCTCAAGCATCCTTTCTACAGCAAAGAGAAGGCCCTTCTCCCATAGTGGTGCAGAAGCAGGTGAGCTTGGGACTTCTCAGAAACGCGTCAGTTCACGAGGTGTGTGTTGTATGATCCAAATAAGAAAGGCCAGACACTTTATGAACTAGGTTGCCATAAAGCAAAAAAGGAGGGGGGAAAAAAGCTTCCAAATTTCTTAAGTCCGGGATACCAAAGGCAGTGAAAGACAAGCATCCAGGACACCACCACCAGAAAGGTTTGGTGTAATATCTCAGTGATATTGTTAACCAGGCAGGAAACTTTCCTAATGTAACACAGTTTTATAGCAGTGAGGGTGCTAATAGCGCTTGGAGGTGGGGAGTCTCACAAGACTTCCATCTCTCCTCCAAGAGTAGCAGCCTGCAAACAGAAGAAAAAAACAGTTGACTGGTTGAGCTGCAGGCACCCAACCCAAAGATGCGCCTCTAGGCATTTTGAGGCCAGCTTACTCTCCACTTAACAACAGCCCTGAACAGCTCCAACTTGCTCGAGACTGCGGCTGAAAGCCAATGGGACTCCTTGAGAATATAGGCACGGAGGTGAACTAGGGTCACAGGTCTTCAAGTCAGGCTTTTAAGCACAGCTTCAAAATGTAAAGGATGGATTCAACCGAATACACCCATGAGCCCTGCCACAACTGATGGGACAGGAGGAGGCACCTGTCCTTTCGGAGATCTGTTCAGCAACTCATTTATCTAACAGCTAAAGAGCATTTCAGATCTCTTAAAAACTGCAGCCTGAGCTGAAAAGGAAAATAGAGCCAACTGGGGTAACTTTATTATTATTATTAAATGTACTGTGTGTTTTAGTTGAACTGAATCACTTCTGACTGAGAAGAATAGCAAGGGCTGAGTAAACATGACAGACATCTTGGGCCTGAACTGGACGAGAGGTACCAAGGTAATGAAGAAAGGGGCTGCCTCTCGGGCACCGTTGCGTTGGCCTTACCTAAGGAATGTGCTGCAGTGGTTTTAGAGCTGAAAAAGCGGCCCAGTCCGAGATCCCCCAGTTTCACGACTCCAGTGGCGGTTATAAACACGTTGGCAGGTTTTATGTCTGGAAGACAGAAGGGAAAAACAATGAAAGAGAAAGGGTCAAAACTACAGAAGTGTTTTCTGCATCTAAGTATCATCAGCCTTTTCCCTAAGGAAAAGTGATCACCTCTTATCCACTCGGGTAGGTCGCGTGGATAAAACCGGATCTCCCAAAGGCGTGGGAGCTGGCGATATCTAAAAAGTGACACTTTTCAGTATGTTTTACATACCAATGAGATGAAGGATAAGCAGAGTTCCCTCAGCAAACTCAAATCAAAGATTTAAAGGCTGGCTTGAACCATTGGAACAGCACAGAGCGCTGTGATGCTTTGAAGACAGATTTTCTTTTTCAAAGCCTTTCAAGATTTTGGAAACACAGCAATAAAGAAACTCTTCACCTGCACGGAAATACAACTTTTCTATTTAATCTTTCTCCTTAACATTTGATCATATTGAAACTGGAACTTGTTCATAGTAAAGCCACTCCCCTAACGTCTTAATTGGAGAAATGTGAGTATGGCATTTGGGTGAGGATGCTGTAGCCAGGAGGGATTAAGGGAGGAGGAGGAAGAGACTCTCTGGTGCCACTTTTCCATCTGCAAGACAGAAAAACAAAAACAACAGCCTGCCTCGCGGGTCTACTGTGTTGTTTACAGTGGGATGAAAGCGAAACCCTTTTGATACAGCACCACACAAGAAATCTTGAAAGAGAAGGAGAGGAGTTGGATTCAGCAAAACGTCTGCTCTACCGCAAGGATGACAAGTTTGGGAACAGCAGCAGGACAAGCATCTGTTCTGTGGTTGCGCGTTTCGATTTTCCCTTTCAAAACATTGACTGTGCATTTGAAAGGAGGTGGAAAGGGACTGGGTTTGGGAACTGAACCCAGAGTCTAATCAGTCAAAAGGTCCAAGGAGATTTCCCTCCGCTTCCCGCATCTTGTTTAACATTCCCTGTGCCCGTTGGTCTCCCTGGTTCATTATGAAGGAGAGCTGCCTTGGGTTGCCATCTCTGGAATCCAGGGCAACTGGCACCGCCTCCATTAGAATGCCACTCTAATAGACGGGCGGTGGCACTTGCCCTGAATTTCAGGAATGGCAACCCGAGGCAGCTCATCTCCATAATCCTCTTGATCAGCTCAGACCAAACGCTTTACCGTCAGGCATCAGGCAAGGAGAAATCCATCTTGCGAGCTCCACTGTCTCTAAACACACACTGGCTGAACATCAGCATAATTGTTTTTGAATGTAGGCGCTTACTAATTGGAACATTATACTATTATTCAGCGAAAAGAGACTGAATTAATGTTACCTCTGTGCATCACCCTGCGGGAGTGCATGTGTTCGACTGCGCTGCACAACTGCACAAAGTACTTCCACACCGTCCTTTCTGGAATGAGCCGCTTCTGCTTTTTAAAATACTGCGGAGAGGAAATATACGCAAGATGAACAAAACAGGCACTGTGTGTGCGCACACACACACACGTGTGTGTGTCTCTGTCTCTCCCCCCCTCTCCTAAGCCAGGGATACGACGTTCATCCACCGGCCCTTGTCCTCAAGACCATCAGGGCAGAGCGTAGTTAGGTCTTTGCTTTGCATTTCTCTCTTTCCTTGTGTGTGCACGCTTCCCATGCAATTCGCTAATTAACGGCATTATGAAAAATACGCTCAAATAGGTTTGACATTTCTGAATGGACACCAATTATAATTAGCATTAATCTCATTAATTACCTTGCTGAACATATTTAATGCCTCAAAACAAAAAGTGTTTGGAGGGGTGTGTCTTAAGAAACAAAAGGCTTGCTTAAAACACACACACACATACACAACATCTTGAAGATGATCATCACCACTAACAGTGCAGCAAAATAACTTCCTCTTAAGGAAGTCAAGACACCATTCAACTGGGATGATTTCCTCTACCATGGGGCTGTGGCTGAATTTCGTCACTGGCTGCACCTCGGCAAAGGGTCCCGACAGAAAAACTGCCATGTTTCTATGTAGCCTCACTCTTTCTGAGGTACCTGGACTGTAGAAACAGAGCCCAAAATTGTATTAATGAGGAAACCCAAATTCTGCACACAAGCTCATGCAAATTAGTATGCATACTACCTACTGTTTCTGTGAACCTGCTCCCAAGATGTATTATTTTTTTCTCTAAATATCTGGATTTCTCATAACCCAGAGACTTTTGGGTAGAGTGCACGGCATATAAGTCAGCTAGCTAGCTAGTTAGTTGGTTAGTTGGTTAGTTAAGTAAGTAAGTAAGTAAGTAAGTAAGTAAGTAAGTAAGTAAGTAAGTAAGTAAGTAAGTAAGTAAGTAAGTAAGTAAGTAAGTAAGTAAGTAAGTAAGTAAGTAAGTAAGTAAGTGGGCAGCAGGGTGCTACGAGGCTAGATGGGAAAAGAAGAGCTGCTGCAATCTTTAGGCAGTGGGTGCCTAGACTTTGGAAGTAATCACACACACCCCGATTGGTTTAGCAGAAATCTTGGGTGGTGTTGCTCAACACAACCTTTGCCACTCCCCTGTGTGTCTTCAAAAAGGCAGCCCAAAGGGGAGACATTAAGGAACATTCTACCAACGCCAAGACAGTCCAGCATAAGGGTTATGAGGTGACACTGCCCTGGGGCGCATTCATTTTAAGCAAGTTTTCTTTTTAACTGGAGTCGTAAGAGGAAGAACACGTAGGTTGCAGACAGACAACCAGGGCCCTCCAAATGCCTACAACTCCCATTTGCCCTGGCCGGCGTAGCTCAGCGGTGAGTTAAAACAAAACCCCAAACCTTCTGGTATCCTACAGGGTCTCACTCCTGCATAGTGTGACAACGCACAGACATTTCAAGCTAAACCCTGGCACGTGAAATGCTGTGGAATGGCAGAAGCGTTATTTATTTCCCTCGTTCTAGCTTCATTCTCACTGAAGTATTTAGGGGAGGAGGCGCTAGGCCACAATTAGCAATCTTCTTAAATGTCATGTCCAATAAGATTTTCTTGACATTTAACAGAAAGCCAAGATTCTCCAGGGGGTTGTAGTGCGCACAACTCTCCGTTACACCAGCTTTATAAGGCTCATAAATAATGCAGGCAACAGGGCGACGGCACAGAGAGAGCCCGGGCGTCGGGTACGCTGGGTGGATGTGATTTTTCAAGTCCCTCTTCACCTTCTGGGCATTGCTGCTGTGCTTCCTCCTACTTTTCCAAAGTCACAAGTGAAAGCAGGGGGAGGAGGATGAAAAGGAGGAGGGAGCTTTCTGTGGCACCGCACCTGAATCTGTCGAAGCAGGAGAAGAAGAAGAAAAGAAACCTGCCGTGAAAGGGGCACCTAGGAGGACTCTGTAGACGACCAGGCAGTCCACTGTCGCTCCACAGGACATCTCCTTGCGCGTCGGGAAAGGCACCTCCTCTCTTCAAACCTTGTGCAGTTCACTAAGTGGCGGGCCTCATAGCAACACCAAGACCCCATAAGCCACGCAAACAACGCTCTTGGGAAGCTCTTGCGTGACTGAAAAGCAAAATACTGGAAGCAGCTCAGGATCAGCTGAGCATCATGAGGAGCTTGTTCTGTGATTAACCACATAACATCTCCCGCCCGCCCACTTTTTTCTTTCTTTCTTGGCCATATTAAAATTCCTTTACACACACCAGCCTTCTGTGTATTGCTGATCTTAATCCCCTGCTAAAATATGAGGTTTTCTGGGGATCAGGTTCTAAGGTTTTGAGCGGGCAAATTCAGTGTGTCCTCTCTAGCCATCTCATTTTTGTTCCTGTAGTGCAGGATTCCAAAGCCCATCATGACACACCAGAACAGCATGTGGCCTAGGGATGATATATTCAGGACACTTCACCCGTGCGCTAACACATGCCCAAACCCGCAATGACATCCCATCCACCAAGGCCCAGAAAAGCAGCCTCTCTCGGAAGGGCCCTTTCCAGGTTAGGTGGGCTTGTATGTCCCACCCACCCCAAACTGGCACTGCTCATGGTGGTGGGGAAGTTATAAGCCAACAGTAAAATCCGGAGCGGATTTTACTGACCCACTGAAGCTGGTGGCTTCAGTGGGGAAGTTGTAAGCCAACACGCCAATCAGGTTGGGGAAGGCGTGTTTCTCAGAGGCAAGGTCTCCTTGTAAAGTGACCTGGGACAGACACCGTGTACGTTTTCGAAAAGCAATGCATGCTTGAGCACCAGACTCCCTATTTACCGCTCACACCATCTTGGCTGGATCGTACCAAGAAAACATGACTCACTGGCTACAGAGAAGTGCTGCAAGGTGTGTTCAGGGGGACAAACAGGACCGCTGTGTCTCTGGGGAACAATGTGCACCCCAACAGGCGAAGGGCACTGAGAAATCCCCCTTAACACCTTCCAGTTGGACATCTGCAGATCAAATGGCTTCTCCAGCCCATCCCATTTCCTTACCTTGTTCATGAATAGCTTTCCTTCTCAGAAATGGAATAAGCTTTTACCCTGGCATGGCTGTTTTTCTGACAAGTAATTTAGCAGGCCTGTGACAAACGGATAAAGCCCGTCCGCGCTTCATCGTACATAAAGGTAGGATATATTATTGCTAACGCCGACTGGACCAGCTCAAGCATAGTTCTAAGATTAAAAGTCAGAGTTTCCTTAGCATCTGGGAAGGCCTGAGGTCTTTCTGAAGAGCAAGGTAGCAAGCTTTCTAAAATCATCTTTAATGATAATCTCAGAACAGTGTTGGCAAAACAGGGAAAATTTTAAGAGGCCACATCTGTTTTCACAGGGGAATACCTGTCTCTAGATTAACATGTCAAAGAAACCATGTTGAACACCAGGCGATAACAGATGAGCTAAAGGGACTTCTATCAGACAGGGATTCCTGAGAACAACCTGGAGGAAAAGAGCAGCTACTCTAAAATTTCTACATCTAAAGAGGCAAAGAAAGTTAAGAGGCAGCTGGCAGATGATTTCGCTAGCTGTTTTACAGGGAAACATGCCTGTCTGCGGAAGATCACTATAAAAAGATACTTTTTTTTTTCATTTAGGCTAGGAGGATGAGGGCCTTCTGAAAAGGGATATTGTGTCCTCACTAGCCCCCCCAAAATAGAAAGTTTCAAAAAATCTGCAGTCGACAGACAGAAAATCCAAAATCTTCAGCTGCTCAGTTCCCTATGCATTCGAACTGAGGCTCACATGAAAAATGAGCGGCATTTCTTAGTTCCTTGCCTTCTTATAAACAAATACATAATACACAGTCTTGTTAATAAAAACCCACCATTGCAGGACTGGGAGTTTTTTTTGTTCTACCAGTTGGCAAAGAGCCCACATTTCTATGCTAGCTGCCACAACAAAGCCTACAACTGAACTCTAGTGAGCCAAGAAATTCAACTTACTAGCCTTGGCTACCTTTTTTTAAAAAAAGGGCTTTTTGGGAAGTCAGCTTGCAGTTGCAGAAGAGGAAAGGGTGCTTCTGCTTTCCTCTATGGACAGCAGAGAAATCTAGTGAACAAGGAAAGGGTCCCCTGAAAGTTCCATTCCTCTCTCCGCCAGGCCACCAATAAACTCTTTTGTGTGGTATTTAATGCTGCCTGCGGATGCCAGGCCAGTTCTACAATAAGAGGCTGCCTTCATGGTGTTTATTACATGTGCAATGACTTAAGAAAGCCTTCAGCTTTCCTTTGCAGCTTCTGTTCCCTTTCTGATATTCTTATTTTGTTTTGGGAGGCTACCAACAGATTTTATCTACATTTCAAGTCTCCTTGACACTCAACTCCTCATTCAAGAACAACCTCATCGCTCAAAGAATGATCTTGTCCTTACCTTTATCATTTGAGAAAGGTCACCAGCATCTGCTAGTTCCAGTACGATATTGAGTTCGTTGTCCTCAATAAAGGAATCCAAATACTTGATTATGTTGGGGTGGTTCAGTTGCTGCAAAAACACAGAGCAGGCACCATATGAGGGCACACGGAACAAAAAAGGCATGGTGACAGCAGTTCCAAGAGACACAGGAGTGCAAAGGAAAGAAAGGAAAGGCAGTACAGGGAACATTTTTCTCAGTAAAGGCGTCTCAACCACCCTAAGTTAGGCAAACAGGAGAGAGATAGCCCTACTGGCACATAATGAATGCCAGACTTTATACTGAGGGGATGCCCTGATTAACCCAACCAAGAAAGGCACCCAAAAAAAGTGTGCCACCTTTTGAGACTGCTCTCAATTCATCAGGCAAGAAGGGTGGCTGGCTGGATTTTAAGTTCCTGCAAGTGCATGTTTTTGTCTCAGAAGGTACAGGAGAGATATTGCAAAGGAGGAGCTGGGTGTCATCTGGTGACAATGCCATGGTGTTAAGATCTCACGGGGCTACAGACGTACTGAGATGTGGAAGACTAGAAAGTTCTGGTTTTCCACCTTAAAGTCTCCCAGACAAGCTCATAATGGATAAGACTTCCCAGAGAAAAGTCTCAGAGGAGTTAACTTGGCTACAGATCTGAGAGGTCAGAAGCAAGCAATGCAAAAGGACTTCCTATGTCCTTGCTTCCTCAAGAACAGGGAGTTTCTTGTTTTATTGGTAGTCCTTCTTCCCTCGGATGCAGGGACTGTTCCTCCCCCCCCAAAAAATATGGAGTTTCTGAATTTACAAAGCAGAGTTCAGGGATATTAAAACCAACCTTGCTTTAAAAAAATGCCTTCTCAGTTCCCGAATTTGTATCAAAACCTCAATCATAAATAGGATAAGGTTCTTTTCCAGAGCTCCCTCTCCAAACCATCTGGTTGGAGAAGTGGGTTTAACGTATATGTGCATATGTATATATGTGTGTGCTGAGACAGAAGTGTGTGCTTATGGCACAAAATACAAGGATCCTGTCTACATGAACAACTATTCAAATGCACCCTTTGCTAGGCTCGTACAACTGCAGAAAGGAAACACACCACATGCATTTACATGAGTTCACTAGCAGTGCAATTGTCAGAGTGCATTATCGAGGAGAAGAGAGCCAGTTCTTGCTTTCAGTTACGCTTCTCTCCACTTACCCTTAGCTAAAATCTCATGCAAGGAAGTTGGGGGAGGACCATGGCAGAGGGAAGAATCTGCCACTCCACGCAGCTCATCCGTGCCTGTTTCACAGGAAACTGAGCTGACAAAAATGCTTTTGTGATCAATCAGATTAATCTGCATACATGTCGAGGGACAGATGTCTCCTCTTTCATGCTGTCTGGACACTTGCTTAGCTTCACACTAAGGGGTTCCTGTGTAACCACTGAGAGACCACAAAGGTGAAATTTAGGGCAGGAAGCACCGTCACGAAGTTGGTGCTCCCCACAAGACCACCAGAGCCTTCTAGAAAAGGAGATCAGAGACTGCACACAGTATCCAAAGAGCCTGAAACTCAACACTGATCCATGTGGTTCAGAGTATTCACATTCGCCCTATTCAGGTAAATTTCATCTTGTTACATCTTCTGTTTCTGCAAGTGGCCTTCAGCATTCTTCCGTGCAGAAAAAGCAACTATTAGTCAGTAACTAACGTACAACAAACCTTTTGCGTTTTGACACTCTCAAAGAACAGGAATGACACAAAGCAGCGAAACACATTTCTCAACTATATTTGTAACTTTAATGTAGACACAAATAAGGAAACTGTAACCATCATGTTCTACAGTTCTAGTTTCTAATAATTCAATTTCTGTAATTACAAAAAAATTATTTACCATTGCAGGAAATGGAGCTACAGCTACCTGTAGGCTTCCTGTTAAACTATTTCATGACAGGCTATTGTTTTTCCATACTTGACACCAAAATAAATATTTGCTGACATTACGTTAAACTCTTTTGTTGCTGTTGTTGTTGCTTTTGCTAGTAACATGCCATTTTTCATGGTGTTCTTACCATTATCTTTTTGAGCTCCACTGAGCCCTGTGGGGACAAGGGAGAGTGGACGTGGTTTTAAATTTCCCCTAACTCATTTTAAAAAGATTTTAAATCATTTTACACTGGTCATTGGTTTCAAGTTATATCTGCAGCATACTCCGAGATCATTCAAGATGGAGATATTTTAATAAGGAGCAACAGAATGCTATTAAACCAAATCAAAATCAACCACTGTCAAGGCCATCCTTTTGCATCAAGCCCATAAAAATGAAGAACTAAATCCTTGCTAGACTGTTATGAGACTACAATTAATCGAGAACATCTCGTTACCATTGTGTGTAACGCATGTCACTTTCCTCTTTGGCTCTGAGTCACAGACATCTCCTTCCCTTCAGGAACAAGCAGAACCAGAACTCCGAGCCTTGGTGGTTTTATTAAGCCCTAACCAAGCATCTCAGGCCAAATCCCATCCCCTAAGCTTACTAATGCTCTTCCCATGTACCACGTTCACCTGTAATCCCTGCAGGCACACAAGAACAATGACAGTCGATGCATGCAGGGCTCTAGTATAAACGGGTTATTTGAAATATTGGCCTTTCGATGGAAGGGGTGGGGGTGGGGAGGAAGTGCAGAACCTTCACTCCAGCTTATCTGTAAATGCACATAAACATTCTGTCTTAGACTGCCATCCTCTCATTTTTTTAATGCGGTCTAAAAGTTTGATGGAAGCGAATGCCTGATGTGTATGCAGAGCAATGCTGTCAGCGAGAGGCATGCAAAAAAGCAAGCGGCCACTAACTGGAAGGGGCAATGCTGGCAGGCCAACCGTTGATTAGAGCCACCTTACTGGCTGACTTGGCTTGGGCAGCTGTTGACTAGGGAAACATCCCGTTTTTTTCCCCTTTTCTCCTCCCGGGGAAGATGAGCTAGCCAGTTCTCGAAATGCCAACCGTTTGCCCCATTAACGTATGAAGCACCAAGTCTTGCTTTTAGTGAGTCATTCTTACACGCCCGCTTTCACGGCCTCCCCACAGGAGCAAAAAGATTCAAAAGCAGCAGTTAAAAAAGGGGGTTGGACAGACACAGTTTTTATTTTCTGGGAAAGAGTTGAAAGAACAGGACATTTCTGTTCAGAGTACTGCTTCCACAGAGGAATACAACTGAAAGGCAAGCTTGGGGTATGAGGTCCCAACTGGAATCCAGGCAAAAAAAAAAAAATTCCCACAAAGCCAAGTCAAGAGGGTTACTTGGCAGGCTTACAGACCAAAATGAATACATGTAGATCTTTCTGTACCATCTACAGGTCAGTGAACTGCTCTGGATGCTAACCACAAGCCTCCCACTTTGCAATTTAAAGCATATTTCAGAGGCCAAAAAAAAAAAAACATTAAGCACAGTTCCTACCCAAACTAATGGTTCAAAAACAGTGTTTGGTTGATATTGTGTAAAAAAAAAAGTTACTGCAGCAGTAGGTGCTTGCTCACTCTCAATTCAATGTAGGTCCTCTACAGTTTTTCATTTGGTACTAGATGCTTCTCAGGCACCCATCCTAACTATTATTTCCACAAGTACAGCTCCCAGATCAAGTAACAGCAGTGATATAGAGACCACAAAACTGAGTACTCATAACTATTAATTATTCTAACACAAAGAAGTTGCAACTAACGCGAGATAAAATTGTTTTTCAGGTGCTTTTCTAGTCCACCTCAGGACAAAAGTGGCAGATCTTGTTTCTCAGACTGAAACTGTTAAGGAACAGAGGTGGTAGAAATCTGGGCATGGTGGAGTTAGGGGGGCTGTTTGCTGCTGTGAAAACAAAGGGAATCCAGTGGCATCCTTAAAGTCAAGCAGTTTTATTTTGCAGACGTTTTCAGATCTAATGAAGCAGATTGTGGGTCCAGAAAGCATATGCGGCATAATAAAATATGTTCTTTTCAGGTGCCACGAGACACTTTGGATAAATGGCAAGACTTCACATCCTTCTGTAAAACCACTCGACAATAACTTGAAAAAAAACCTCAAAATTTAATTGAAGTTGTTCCTCTTGCATATACAGAATATGCCTGAAGCTTCAGGAAAAAAGTGTCTGCTTTTGTACAGCAGAGCAGAGCGTTTGCATTTGTCTGGAAGAGCAATCATCAGGGGGGCCATCAATTAACAAGAGATGAGTTGCAGATATTGACCTGACAAGTTATTAGCTGCGTGGCGATCCAATTGCTAAAACTGACAGACAGGTTGAAGTCATCTCACAGAACTGTCCCCTGCCTCAAGAAAACCTTGAACAACTCCTTCCTCCTAGGACTCAGTGGGGAGACTCTGGCACCTGCACGAAATTACCAGAAAATGCTGACCCTTACATCATGTCATTAAAAACTGCTTTTTGAGTTGACATGAAGACCTCTGTTGTAATGCATTCAGCTTTTCAGAAATGAATTATATCTATCATGGGCAAAATCTGTCATATTTGGTTGGATCTTCCATTCAAAAACTTGGATAAGTTTGAAAGGAATGGCCGATAGGCAGCATTTCCTAACAGATCTATTGTGCATTGGCAACACAATATGATTTATCAAACGGACCGCCTACCCTGCTTGGAGCAGCAGCCATGCAAATGGATGACCAGCAGGGATTTTTCACCAGAATTCCCTAAAATGCTTTCCAGCAAAGTGTGGGATGCAGAGAAATGGGTTTGTAGATGGGTGTCAAATTCACAACGGTCTTTGTCAAGCAAGTACCAGAAAGCCAGGAATACAAAGCTAGGTCCTTGGCAGGGTTTTTTTTAAAAGGGGGAGCCTGCAAACATGATGAAAAAGATCCTTGGATCTTGAACCAGGGTACCTGCTACTCAAGGGGGCGTCTTACCTGGAGAGCTGCTTTCAGGCCTAAGTTAATGTCTTCTCCAGGCTGACCAAATTGCCTCTCAATCCTGCCTTACCCGTGATGAACCAAAATTGCACCGCAATAAATTGGTCCTGGATTAGGAGGACCTGCTGTCTGTAACCTACATTGACAGTGCACTATTTCCATGGATGCAAAGGCTGCCTTCTTGCCCCGCCTTAAATCTGCCAGTGCCCCCAAGCACATTCAAACAAAACTGCCTTCCCACACATTGCTTGACACATTCTGTTCTCTTACAGGCCCCCTCTCTTGGCACGAACATAAGGAGGTGCTTTATACACATAGCTAACTCAGAATTGTCAACACGGACCATCAATGGTTTTTCAGGAGCTGAGATTGTCCCAGAATGACGAGATGATGCCACAGAGGGGGCGTGGGCCCTCTTCCCCATGCAAAGCATGTGCTCTTCTCTGCCACTGAGCCTCTTCCCAGAAAATGAACCAACAGCTGACCTCCCAAGCAAGTACTGCCTTTATCCTCTCTCTCTGTTAGATCAGACTCTGACCTGATTCGGCCTGTTCATGTTCCAGCAACCTGGTCTTTGTCTCCAGTCTAAAACCCTCACCAAGCTGCTTTGGACATATTTCAAAGGAGAGGAAAGGGTTAAGTAGCTTAATTTAAAATAAGGAAGTGGTATCATTAAGACGTTGTTGCTATGCTTTACAACCCTCTCACATTGAAGCAGACCATTCCAGATCTGACCTGACACAGGGGTGTATTTTAAAACTCTCGCTCGCTCGCTCTCTGTAGAACTTTCACATGTACCCAACTTTGCTCAAGGGGTTCTAGGCTGAATTCCTTATGTTTGGCAAAAGAAAGACAGCAATATATGGATTGCAAGACAAACAATTAAGTCAGAGGAGGAAGGAAGCTAAGTGCCTTTAGAAAACACAAAGGGCATTAGAGAGGGAAGTGCTAATTATTCAGCAGATCATCTCCTCACACTGTTGTCTTCACAACCCAGCTAATCCAGTGTTCACAGTTTAACATCTGCTTCCTTGGTGAGCTTGACAGGGGAAGATGCGCAATTGCCTCTGGACATCTTATATGGTAGGAAGGATAATTGACCATCCCAATTTCCCCCTGTCTTCCTGAGAGTCTTCATTATATTTTCTCTTGACTCTAACACATGTAGACGTAGTGGCCTGAATACATCCAAGGCCATATGGGAGTGTCTTCCTCCTGGGCTCCCCAAGTCTTGTTTCACACAGGGATCAACCTTACTCAGCGGTGTTGCAGACCATCTTCACCTTCTTTGGCCTGTGTGCCCGTTGCTTCTCCCTCACTATCCGCTTAGCAGCTCTCACGGAACAGCTCTAAAGTAATCTCATATTCTGCCTAACCTAACAACACCTAACATGGAGTCCTCGCACTTGTGTCAGGTCACCACGGAAAGGGAAGGAAGCAGTGAAAAGAGCCAGAGCACCTGATCAGCTCCTTATAGCCAGGACTGAAACGTAATTCTTTGAGCTTCAAATGAGAATAAGAAGGAATGTGCTCCCCCAGTTAAAAAAAAATCTACAGTGGCAGCAGGATCTGTTAAGGCATGCCTTTGTTTGCCACACACCAATCTGTGTGCCTTTCAGGGGGAGGAGAAACACAGCAACTTGGACCACCTGCTTCTGAGTGATCCTCTGGAATGTTATGATACTAACTTTTTTTTTTAATCCACTCTGCAGCTTAAGTAGTAGTTAGTAGTTTTAAAAAGCTTTCAACCTGAAAAGAAACCAAACTTCTGTAATACTGGGATGCATCTCACCATTCTGAACATACCAATTTAATTTGGTTTGGGAAGTGATGTGTGGCCCAGGCTGGTTTCTGAACGAGAGACCACCAGGTCACCTGATACAATTAAAGACAAATCCTTCCTGAAATCCTGGAAGGATGCTGTCAGCCAGAGCTGACAATATTGGGCTAAATGGACCAACGATCTAACTTCCAAGTCAATATAAGGCAGCACATCCCTATGTAATATTAGGATAGTGTTTTAATTGCAGCTGGCTGGATAGCTCAGTGGTTTTGCTGGTTGGTTAAAGAGCCAGAGGATGAGAGCTTGATTTCCACTGTGCCTCCAGGGAAAAGAGCCAGCCTGGGTGGCCTTGGACAAGCTGCATAGTCCCAGGGCATTACTAGAAGGAGGAAATGGTAAACTATTTCTGTGCTTTCTCTACCTAGAAAACCCAGCAGGGGGGTTAGCCATAAATTAGAATCAATTTGACAACACACAATTATTACTATTATTATTTAACAGCAACTTTACAGACTTCAGACATAACTCGGAGGGTGGTATGAAAAGCTGTCACCATTAAAACCCTAGTTCACCAGCCAAAATTAGTTCTACGTAAGCAAAATGAGATATGGACACCTTATTGCCCTTTTACCAAATGCTATCTCAACATAATGTATTTTTGATTTAACATTTTTTTAATGTTTCTGATTAAAAGGAACCAGGCAACAAAAGAACAGAATATATTAGACAGGTCTTTAAATATGGCACTGTACAGATTATTTTCCTTGTCGAAAATGTGTTGAGCATGATGCGAACAGAAGTAAAAATAAAGACTCATCAGAAAGACGCAACATACCATCATTTTTCTCAGGTGACAGGAGAAAACAAGAGTCTGCCCCATTTGAAAATAACAATGGCTTAAGGAAATTCTTACCTTCAAAAGGTCTATTTCTTTAATACAGTCTTGTCTAGCCTTGGCATCCATCATTTCAAATATCTGCAAGGAGGGGGGGCGGAAAGTTAAGAGGTTCAGAACTCAGGTATAAACATGAAGGACGCCACAAACTTTCAGATTCCAGACCATCCCTCTCTTGCTTTCTCTCCCATATCATCCCTAGATTCCTATGCCCTATCTGCAGCTGTCCCACTGCCACCCAAAAAACTTCCTGTGCTTGTTCAGATCTAAAAAGACCTGTAAACAAAGCAGAAGTAGCAACAGCATTTAACAGATAAATAAAATCATAGTGGTGTGGTGGGGAATTCAGATTATTACGTTCTCGTCAATTCTTGATCTAAAAACCAAACCACACAACAGAAGCCTAAGTAATGACACAATATAGATCTATAGAAACCTACTGTGATTATAGAGTTCTACAGATACAGTTAACTGAATGCTATTTTATTGCTATGGATTTCTGTTGTTCTTCAAAAACATATTGATGGTATACTGTGCATTCTGTGGTTGGCACGCTGAAAGTCTCTGAAAGGCAAAGTAAAACTTACCTTAACTAAACAAACATGCATACATACATGCTCAGATTGGCTTTTAGTGACTATGCACAGGTAAAAGAATAAAGGGAGTATGCTGCCTATTTCCACCAGACTTTGGCCAGTCTTACCTGACTATTCAAGATACCTCACCTGCACTTTCCACCAAACTTCGGCCAGTCTTACCTGACTATTCAAGATACCTCACCTGCACTTTCTTTAATGCCACTGGTTTTCTGTCCAGAAGGCAAGTGGCCTTGTAGACTTCACTGAATTGTCCTCGTCCAATTTTCTTTTCTATCTGAAAGTCTGCTAAGGTGCAGCGATATGGGTATGATGTCAGATGCCTCTGTTTAAGAAGAAAAGAGAACTTTGAGCAAACCAGATTAAATGAGCACAAACACATAATAAAATAAAGCAGAAAAGCAATATCTTCCGTAACAAAACACAGTATAAGAACAGGTCAGGACACAGTATAAAATCTGGTGGGGGCTATGTTCTAAACTATTGTATGTGCAATATTCACATTAGAATTCCTGAAAGGGGATCCCCAAAAACTCCTCTTAAAAAAGTAACTGATACAGGATTGTGCTTTCTAACTTCCAGATCATAGCATAATGGACATTTAGAGGGTGAGGAGGAATCAAGCCAGGCTAGGGTGGGGCGGAATCCAATACAACGGTTAGAAATTCAAAACATCATACAGCCCACTTTTGTGCGGTTTGTTTAAAATTGGATTTGGTTCTGTCTGTCAAAATATTGCCCTGTTGGGAGTTCCTGGACCTGCTGCGGCTAACAGGCCACACTCTCAGGGGATGACAGAGGTGGCCATTCAATGCATGAGGACGGTACCAGGTCCGAGACGGCTACTCTACTGGACAGAAGGAGAGCAGGCACTTTTAGAAGGCTGTGTATGAAATTCAATCACATGGCATTGCATGTCATGGGTGTGGCAAGATGATCTCTTTGAGATAAAAGGTCTGGAATCGGTAAATGAATAATGCCAATATTCGCATGCAAATCAGAATTTCAAACAAATCTTCAAAACACTATCGGCTAGTGGTATCTATGGCTGAAAAATACCTCGTGGTAGGTGAGCGGCACAGTTGACTGCATGTTGCTTTTAACACCTTGCAATATGGCTCAGCCACGGAATGGACTGGACACCTCAGCTGATACACTCTGGCATCCGCCAAGACTACAGCTGCACATTTACATATGCAATGACCTAGATTTGCATTTGCTATCACAACCTATCAAACCTAATTAAAGCAACGGAGCCAAAAAGGGGATGTTAAACTACAGCACGAACAAAGGAGCAAACCCAGGTCAGACCAAAACATGCCAAAAACTACCCCACTGACGAGACAATTTGTTTTCCAGCTATATTTAGACAGATATAACTAAAATAGGGTGTTCCCAGTGGATGTGTTTCCAGACTAAACTGGAGGGTAGGGGAGTAAGGAAAGAATGTTTTAAAAAATTCCTGGGCGCAAACAACCCTCTGCTTGCCACTGACACTGTCTAGAACTAAAGATAGTGCCTGTACACTTATTTCCCTTCCACTGCCCCCCCCCAAAAAATATCTGGGAGCAGGAAGTTATGTGGAGACATTTGCTTGAGAAAGCAAGGGGAGGCAGGATGAGAAGCCCTATTCATGCTGGTCCAGCATCCCTCAGCTGTTTGAACCAAGGTATACAACATCTCTCACTATTTCAGTTTCCTCACCGTCAGTGTCAAGGTTCTGTAGCTCTTCTGCAGCCATGATTTTTGTCTTCCTAATGTTTCAGCTGCAGTCCTGCTTTCACAAAAAGCCATTTCGAGTCATTGCTGCTTGATGCCAGTAAGATGGCATAACAACACAAAACTACAGGTATTCCTCAAAATGTTCATATGGTGTGTTGGGTCCTCTTTTCCTCCTACGGCATCTTTGTGAGCTCTCTATGCCCACAAGCATGATCAGAAGGGCTTTGCTTCATCTTCTCAACTCCAGCTACCAGGCAGGAGATCAACACAAGGCCAACTGGTTGGGGTAGGAATGAAGGACCAGCTACCAGGCAGGAGATCAACACAAGGGTAGGAATGAAGGGCCTGGCAATCACCCATTCGCTTCTTCACTGGCCCCAAACTAGAGTTACCCTAGCTGCCGACCACAGAATGTTCTATACAGTAGAGGTTTCCCTCAGCTCACAGCGATTACAACTGGTCAGCCAGCTACAAAAAAAAAATAACTCAAAGGGATAATATTGTTGGCTACCAATACAAACACATCTTCCTGAAAGGATACATTTTGGTTTTAAACAGCAGCACATTGTTACAGTAACAGCAGCAGAGTGCACTGGCCCAATTAATATTGTGAATTTCCATTTAAAATGTTTAAGCAAACAAGGGAGCAGCCTGACTGGAATATTAATTATTTTTGTTTTGTGCAAGGTTTCTTCCCTCGCTCTCTGCAATGCATCATTAATTTTTAGGCAACTGTTCCTATGCTTTTAAAGTTCAGATGTCATCTGCATGACATTTACTGAAAACTGAGTTCACCTTTAAAAGACATCTGCAAGCTGCATTAGGAAGATTTAGCACGCAGGTCGTATATGGTACGTATGGAAAAGAATATGTTAATGACAGCACAGGAGGCGGCTCACCTTGTGATTTGATAAGATATATATGTATTTGCATGGATAATGCAGTGCAGAAACTTTGGCAGAAATTTTGCTTTTGGAACACAGGAAAACACAGTTAAAACACTACCTGAAGTCTAGTGGATTTGGGAACCTTTCTGCTTCAAAAATCTACGGCTTAAAAATATACAGAAAATCAAAGCCCCATCTATGTTAAAATAATTGGCTTTGATTGGTTTGCACAAGTCTGCTTTGCTTATTTTCCTATTTATATGGTTTTGGCTTGTGCTATCTCTATATCAGCTACTATGCTAGCAACTGTGTTTTTGCACTAGGTCTCACTGTCTTAAGATTTCTACACAAGCAATTCTTTAACACATATTATTTGATTTTGTTAATGGTAAAATACAGTACCAAGATGCATGAGTTTTTTTTAAAAAAGTCTGCAGAAGGGTCTCTTAAAACTCTCATGGCATCTTTGGAATTTATGGAGCAAAGTGATCCAACAGGTATGCTGTTTCCAAGCCATGAAAGGGTTTCAAGGTAAGGTGTTAAAGGCTTCGAATTAAACTCAGAAAGGATCCGGAGTCCAGAACAGCTGTTTTAACACTGGCCTTGCCAATCTATGGTACAGATTATATGACGAAACCCAGACGCTACATACATCATCAGAAGTTGGCAAATACTTCCTTGTGTCATCAACAGGAGCCTCAACTGAGCCAGGAAATGAAGGAAAACACCAAGTTGGAAGAGGCAGAAAAGAGGCAGGCAGTTTCTCTGTCCGAGTAGCTGAAGGAAAACACCAAGTTGGAAGAGGCAGGCAGTTTCTCTGCCTGAGTAGCTCATAGCACAGCAGAGAGCCAATTAAAGGCATCCACCACACACACCTGACCCGCCTTGTCAGCCCTGTAATGCGCCTCCAACCTGCACCATCTGCACTGATACCACTTGGGAACTGGTGAAGCCCCAATGTGGAATGGCGTTACCACACTGAATACTGAAACACTTTTGTTCTGAAGGGAAAGATCACGCTCCCAGTTAAAAAGGAACCAGTTCTTGGAGAAAACTGAGTGGATTGGAAATTCTGTTTGTTGAGCAGCAGGGCAGGTTGCTCATCATCTTTGTTCACCATAAAGGGAGGCAAGTGCATGAAATTACAGTTCGGTTCATCAGCATGGACACCTACAAAACGGCCTGATAAAACACAGCAGAATCAGCCGGCAGCTGAAATAATACAATGCACGCTTAAAAAGAAGATTCACGTCAGCCCTACTGTGAACTGCTAGCCCAGACGCTTCTCGCCCATTCTGCAGCAATGCAGAGTGCGTTGGCAGGGATCCTAAATAAGCCCATCAACGGTTATATATTCACTTACTCTAATTAGCAAATTCCTAAACAGAAAGTTCTATTGTGAGTCATAAGGAAAAGGTTAACTAAAACACTAAATATAAATACAACAGATGAGCAGCAAGGGATGGTTCTAAACCACTTCTGCGAGCCTTCTGGGACGTGTTTTCAGCAAACAGTGATAGGCAGACAAATTTATCTGTCAACGCTGAACTGCCGTACCCTTTCTCAAAAGCGGTCCTCCCCTCAACCCTAAGGAGGAGAGGCCACAAAAGGACTATTATTGTAGCCTCCCAGTTTAGCTTCATACTTGAGAAGTTATCAGGAGGGAGGGAGGATAAGGATACCAATGGCCAGTAATCATGCTGACTGTGCATTACCTCTAATATTGGAGACAGTAAGCCTCTGAGGAACAGTTGCCCGAGGGATATGTGCAAAGAATGTGGGTGCGGGTGCTACTGGCTTCACATCCTGATAGGCTTAATCAGTTGATCATTGTGGAAAATAAATGCTGGACTAGACAGACCTTTGATCTAACACTGTATATCAGAGGTCCCCAACCCCCAGTCCGCGGCCCCCTGGGCAGGACTGGGCAGCAGACACAGATCTCCTGCCCCCCCATGAGTGTGCCGCATGCATGCGCGTGAGTGCCACGCCCCCCCCAACCAGTCCGCAGTTGGGAAAAAGTTGGGGACCACTGCTGTATATGATCCAACCCAGGATGGCTCTGCTAGCATTTTTATGGATGCATTTATGGCACCCCAAAAATGCACTGATGAGTTCATGCCCTTCTGCTACTTTAAGGTAACTCTCTTTGAGAGGAAGATAGGGAATAAGATTATTTCTAGTAGTCTTCTTTCCTCAATTCACCAAAACTAATGATAGAAAATACATAACAAATAAACTGTTACAACCAATGAATTGCTTTTTGGGAGAAAATTTATAAAAGGATTAGTCTTCCCATGTCAAACAAAACCCCGAAAATGTGTTGCTTAGAAATCTAAATCTACTTTACAAGGCCTTAAATATACTATCTGCTGTTCTTTTCTCCACACAATCAAGATCTTCTGCTCTTTAAAAAAAAGAGAGAGCGAGAGAGAGAGAGAGCTTCCTACAGTGTCGGAAACTGCTGTCATATCTCCTTTATCAATCTTTTCACCAGAAGTTCCAAATCTTTAGGGACATACCTTTCTTTGGGACATGCTTTTCAAATCCCAAACAATCTCCGTTGCTCTCCTTACTTCTTTTCCACTCTTAAGCATAAGCGTACAGATACACCAACAAATTTAAGAGATGGTGAATGGCCAAAAATACACTAAAATATGACCACATGTGACTATGAGGCATCCTAATGCCAGACCCACCAGAGTATGCATAGTTATTAGCCACTAATTACACTTAACTATGCTATTACAAATTCTAACATGTGTTTTAAGATGCCATGAATATATCTGCTGTATAAGAACACTTCCTAATCTTGTTCATGGAATAATTACATGGGCTCCATCCTGCCAAATGAGACTGTAATTAACCCTAATTGCTCAAAATGTAACTTGGCTAATTCGAGGAGATCAATTACTATTAATGACTTAATATGACAAATTGCTGCATTAGGAGGGGGGGCTGTGCTCCACACACAGGGTATTTTGACGAAGTGCTGAGCACCATGTGTTCACAAGCGACTCATTGTTTTAGTAAATCTCATAACTGCACTTTGCCTTTGCCTCCTTAATGAATGAGTTCAGCAACGAATGTTGGGACTCTCCCAAACACAAATGCTGCTGATTTTTTTTTCTTTCCAACAACAGCTTTAATCATTCTGCATCATCAGCGGGCAATAGCAGCAGCCCACTTTTCAAAGGAAGCGAGCTTTGCTCCAAGGACTCTTCAGAGTGCACGATTCAACACTCTCACTAAGTGTAAAGGAATGCAGCAGGGTCCTCTTCTGCCACAGAAAAAGATGTTACGCATTTTACTACTGCTGTTGTCAAAATAGCAATAGAGGGTGAGAAGAATCCGATCTAACAGCCGTGAAGAAAATGCAGCAAGAAAAAGTCCCACGGTCAGCAGTGAAAGAAATGGAAGTCAGCTGGAAGAAAAGTCTATATGGAGGTGGGCAACTTGAATGACATTCCAGATGTTCCTAGACTACAACTCCCAAGATCCCTCTGTTCCACACTAAGCTGGTGAGGGCTACTGGGAGTGAATAGTCCAATACCATCTGGAGGGCCAGATGAAATGTTTGGGAAATGGCAGCATTGTGCATAAAGAGGTTGTTTTGTTTAAGAAGGAATTGGGCTTTTTTTTTAAAAAACACCCGAACCTGGTCTGAATATGGAATCATTCTCACATTGGTGTAAACACATGTATGTGTACGTACTCTTCAAATACGAATAATTGTGCCAAGAAAAAAAGATGAAGGCAAAGACCATCCCGAAATTCAAAACATCTGGATGAAAGGAGCCATGCTATTGATCTAATGCATTTAGTTTGCCTATTCTGCAGGTTCTGGTTGGTTCACAATGTGCTATCAGAGTAGTTACCCAGAAAACTGGTCATGAAATTTAGAAGAACTGTTCAAACTATATCTAAACTGCAATAGTGCTTTGATTACAATACAAATAATTCATTCAAGTCCCCCTCCTCATTAGAAGCCCCCTTTCTTCCTTCTTCCCAAGCAGCTCAAGGTGATGGCACCCCACGGGCTTTTCCTCTGCCCCCAGTTTGATCCTCACAACAATGCTTGATCTTAGTCAGATTTGAGCCACTGTAGCACGCTGGCTCTTTAAAAGACGTCACAGCACTTAAAGAACACAATCAGAGCCATTATCATTTGTACCATCTGAAGAAAGGACTCTTGCTGTTAAGAACAGCTCAGAAAGCTGGCTATTTTTCCACAAGGAGACTTTTAATTCTGGGGGTACGGAGATAATCAGACTGCTCAGATTCAATATTTTAGAACTGCTAGTTTCAGAATTTGAGAGTTTGGATATCTGTTAACATTTTCAAGATAGGCAACCAGGAGAAAGGAAACAGCTGCTTACTTGTGCATCGTGCTGGTATTCCGGGCCCGCCACCTTGCAGAGTGGGTTGTTCTGGTCCCCTAGATGATGTGGATGATTGTGTTGTCCGTCCATGGTAACATACCAGAGTCTGCCTTTAAATGCAGCTGAAACAAAATCAGAAACTAAGTCTAAGTTAAGGTATATGCCTGGCAGAACAAAAGAAGACCAATGTGATGAACCAAAAAGCACTCTTCCCCTCTCAGAATGTACATGCATGCAAGTTAAACTCCTGAATCAGAAGCTCTGACCTTTCTCCACCTCAGGAAGGGAGCAAAGTTTTGTCATTAGTAAGGGCACAAGCAAATAATTACTTGAGCATTCTGATTTATTGAGCTTCTGTCTATATTCAGTTATGGTGAAGTCTGAACTCAGCCCTCTGGTTTATCGGCCCCTGCACAAGTTGGAGTCATAGGCCAAGAACAACTCATGGCTGAGGACTCTGGTTTGCTGAATATGGGGGAAAAGGGGGAAATGACAAACCAAATTGACAGATTAGGATGTCACAAACAAATTGTGCACAAGAAGTCTGGGTTCATTTCCTCTCTCCCACCCTCAGCAGAAGCAATAAAGCGAACATCAGCATGGCACCTGTGTGTGATTAGTCACATTTCCAAAGAATTCCTTGTATCGAAACACCGCCAAGGTCATTTCTATAAAGCCCTACCTTAAATATAATTGCCAGGAGCTGTTGAGCAGCGAAAGCTACATGCAAACTCCTGAACCACTCCCATAATCAAATAAGGGCAATTACTACTCCATTACTGGTAGTAATTCGCTTTCTAGAAGCACAACCGTCTCTTGAGACAGCGGGAATCAAGAGGAAAGAAGCAGCGGTAGAAGATTTTGGGAAACGTAAACCTACATTGCTCCCCTGAAACAAGTTTCTGAAACAGGGACTTAAGAAAAACTATTTCAGACATTGACCAACCACAAACCTAAGATAAGGTGCGTTGTGGCGCAGTGGTTAAAACTGCTGTACTGCAGCCCAAACTGTGCTCATGACCCAGATTGCCGGCTCAAGGTTGACTCAGCCTTCTATCCTTCCAAGGTCTGCATAATATTGATTGATTGATTGACTTATTGATTGATTGATTGATTTGATTTGTATACCGCCAATCTAGAACTTGTCTACTCTGAGTGGTTTATGTATAACATAAAAAAATGAACTAACATAAAATCCAGATTAATCCAAGATGGGAAAGGAAAAAAGAAAGAAGGTAAATAAGAGGAGGAAGGAGGAGAGAAAAGAAAAATAAGAAAAGGGGAGATAGGCTAGGTAATGGCTGTAGGGAAGGCCTGCCTGTATAGCCATGTCTTCAATTTAATTAACTTGTAAACCTCTCACAGAGTGCTTTAAGTACTATGGGGAGGTATATAAACAGCATGCTTTTATATGGTGGCTACAGTGTTTTGTTGCAGCAAAAAAAAAAAAAAAAGGTAAGAGTCCTGTGACACCTTAAGAATATCTAAAGATAAACTCAGATTACATTTCAATAGTGGTAAATAGGGTGTCTTTTTAACTGAATGTGGAACAGCAAGACCACTTATGTTGCTTTTTGTCAAAATTTATCTCAAAAGCGGTGTTGATAAATACCCACCTATGAATCAGACCTCAGAATCAACAGTGAGTGACTAAGTGGCAGACACTCTGATCCGATTACTTGCCTAGAAAGCATGCTCATATACAAGGACTCTGCAGTCAGACCTAATTTAGATTCCTCTGAAAAGGGAAGGACTGAAACGAAGAGCATGATGGGAAGGCAAGTACTGTAACATAAAGCACCCGTATGCAAAAATATCAGTGTTGATATATAATAATTCTTATGTGCATTCATGAAAAACAATGTCACATTTACAACATAAATTTCCCCAAAATTCAATTTCTCACCAGTCTTAGAAACTAGCAGACTATATAATTGCTTACATCATGATTCTGAGTCCAGAGATTAAAAAAAGAATTTGATTTACAGCATAACTGCTGGGAAATGGATAGGGACCATTTACAAAACCCTCAGGCACCCCCAAGTCTCTATTGAAGAGCAAGAGAATATTTGTCTGTCTCCAGCTTTGGAAGAAAGAAAAGTAATCATGGGAGATGGAGAACCAATATTACAACAGTTAGCAAGTTTTTAAAAGTGAGAAATGAGCAGCCCAGTTACCAATATATCTGTGACCTGTCTAAATCCTTTGAAGCTATTTGTGTTTTTCATCATCCACACATTGTTTTACATATCATACGAGCCTATGGCTTTGGTGCATGTCATTGCAACACATCTGGGGGGGGGGAACAAATATATACAAAATAATTTCAAAAAGTCGGTAGAGGTTACACCTGGTTAATGTAACATTTGCCTTTATTTAGGCCTAGCTTCAAAATTTGAGAGATGTCAAATGTCATGGTATAGTTCAGTGGTTCTTAACCTTGGGTTACTCAGGTGTTTTTGAACTGCAACTCCCAGAAACCCCAGCCAGCACAGCTAGTGGTGAAGGCTCCTGGGAGCTGCAGTCCAAAAACACCTGAGCAACCCAAGGTTAAGAACCACTGGTCTAGTTGATTTAAACCATGGTCTATCTATCTCTACACCCAAGCAGGGCGGAAAATCACTTCTGAAATAGGGAAACCATGTCTTCAAACAATGCACATACATAGCAGGCATATTCCAAGTGGGCTCATGAGGACCCTGCAGAGGAAGCTGGGTGTGCCTGTAGACAAGGAAGAGACGAGAGAGCGAGAGAGCCATTAACCGCTCAGGGCTGCATAAACATCCACAACAAGCCTTTCGGCTTGGCTAGTATTTGTTTCAAAGCATCTTTGCTTGCACAGCTTTTAGACAGGAGTAACGATGAAATACCATTTTTGAAAAGCGATATGCAGAAGCCGGCACATGACACCAGCACTGATCTTCACTGACACCAAAGGGACAAGCTGTCCTGCTCAAAACCAGCATCTATTCTGGGATGTCGGTGGCAAGCATGCTATATAGGTAGATTACTCCCAAGAGACCAAGGACAGCGAGGGGCAGATACACACATCCTGGATGTGGCAGATACCTTAACTCCATAGGAAACAAATGCTGCCCTTAGGAAGATCCTCAACAGACTGCAGGAATCCTGCTTTGAAAGTATCTATGAAAAAGAAGGTGTATGCTTCTCAGGGATTCGAGCACTTGGCAGAAAGAATCAGGCCAGAGAACCCTACAGAGAAAAATCTCTCAGTCATTCCTGTGTTTCCTTTCTTAAACATTCTCATGAGTAAGGGGGCCACAGCCAATGTTATAGTGAGATGTATTCCATGTCTTGCACTGACCACCATTTAATTTTAAAAACAGATTAAAACTTTTAAAAATGAGATACTGCTGAACTAGATATTCACTTAAGTATGTAAAATGAGGAGCATGTACCCCTATGTACAAATTAAACCTTCATCTGAACCACAGGTTTACAGAGGTACGTGTGCAAAGGAAACCTTGCAATCTGCATTTATTATATAGTTTTATGTGTCACTAATTTTAATACATCATAGAGAGAGACAAGAACTACTGGCTTCCACTGGATTTTCATTTGAGTAAAACTGGTTAGGACTGGGGAGTAAACCTAATTAGCCAATGCTGTCTGACAAGACTGGAGAAGTCTTTGAAACGTTCAGGTGCCAAAATAATTTTATGTGCTTCAATGACAAGCCACCAGGGATTTTTTTTCCAGCTTTGCTCATCAGTCAGAATTCTGTGCACATAAATTAACCCAGTAGCCAACTTCTACTGGACTTTGTTCTAAATGAAAAAAAAAAGCTATATTTTCCTTCAGCTGAGTACTCAAATATATCAAGAAGGGAAATGGTCCAAACAACCTTCTTTCCTGAACTGGATGTTCTTGTTCTGCTTTCTCAAGTAGCTGCAGGCAAATTTCTGGCCTGCAATTTGCGTGCTATTCAACTAGCACACGCAAGTAACATTTGTAGCTAAGAACTGCCTCTAAAATGTACTGACTCTTTCGATTAAGGCTCACCCAATCTGTTGCATGTGGGGAACGAAGACCTCAATCAGGATGTTCCTCTAATAAGGTGCAATGCAGCAGTGGAATTTTGCAATGAAGTCCAGCTGACTGATGCATGAGAACATACACAGACTTTTCGTCAAGCTAAATAGTCCAGCAATCTGGAAAAACAACAGCTTTTGCCACCTCGTGCAGGAATCTGACAGGTGCATTTTGGAAGGCAGATGTGCCCAAGGCATTTGGTAACAAAGCCCAGGATCATTAGTTACAAGATATCCATTAAAGAAAGGAACTTCACAACTGCCTCTGTTCGCAGTTGATGCACCCTGATGGATGCCCAAGGAGCATTCCTGTTCCAGATCAGGCTCAACAACAGCTGTGATCAGCTTAATCAGGTATAAGCATGTATCTTTGGATGCCTGCACCCCAACCACAGGCCAAATAATTCTCCCGGATGAACAAACAGCATGACTAGCAAGGAATACCTCCCATAGCAGAAAACACAGCAGCAGGAACTGTGCCCACCACATGTCCACTTCCCTATGCCAACACACTTATCTCCTTGCTATGCACATCCAGCTGTTTTACATATGGCTGGCTCTCAGCCTTTTCTGCAGCCAGCAATGCCATGAGCAGTACGATAGCCAAGCACTCAAGATTTAACAAACATTTGAGGCAATCTGGAGGGTGACAGGACAAAGAAGGCTTTCTTTCTCTCTTTTTTAACACAGAAGCCTCTGAGTCCAACAAACCAGCTGCCTTTTAATGGGAACTGTCCTGAACTGGTTCCTTCTTGCAATTCTTATTTTAAGTGCTCTGAGGGAGCGCTGTAACATTACAACAGACCTACGTAACACTTTCACAAGCTGTCTTTTTAAACTTCTACTAGCCCATGCAAGACAGCAAAGCACAAGCCTAGTAAGGAGAGAGGGATGCCTAACTCACTCGTTTTGGTACAAGCTCTGCAAACCTTGAGCCCTCTAAGCATGTTAGATTCATGTCATGCCTTTCTCAACCACTGTGGCCATCTTGCTAGAAAGTGCAGCAGACCTGAAACAACTGGGCTGGGAAAGACAAATCTAGCCATCTCATGCTCTCCCAAAGAAGTGTC